TAATTTTTTTTATAAAATAAATTATACATATCAATTTAAATAATTATAAAAATTATAGTTGTTATTTAAATGCTTCAAACTTTTGAATTTATAATTATTTAGGTCAATATTTTTTATTTATTTTTGAAAAAAATTATTAAAAATTTAACTATTATTAATTTAATATTTTGGAACGTATGAGTCATTCTCTCTTAAAGATTTCCATAACTCAAGGTGAATTGCTAATGATCCTTCGATCATGTGACTTGGTAAGCAAGCCAGTGGAACAGTCTCAATTGAACTTCTCCAACTGTCGAACATCAACAACTGACGTCAAGAAAATTATGGGTCAAAAAATGTGAAAAATAAAAATTTGGGATTCGTGTTGCCATTGGGCTTGGTCTTCACATTCTGAAGAGATGGGCTGTAATGATGCCCCAGCTTATAAAATAAGAAAAAATATATTTTTACTTCTAAAATATTTTTTTAAAGAGGGTTCACGATCCTAACATTTTTATTAAAGCAGTTGTGTCCTTAAAATCATCAAAATAAAGCATTTTTATCAAAATTTTTAAATGTTAATATTGAAATTTTGATGAAAAGAATAAAAACGCTCCGTTCCGATAATTTTAAAAGCAAAATTGCTCCGATAAAAATGTTAGGATGTTAGATGCTCTGATTGAAAAATGCTTTAAGCACAAAAATACACCTTAACCCTATAAAATACTTTCCTCCCAAATTATCAAACATTTTTGGAGAAAATTTGACATTCCTAAATATAAGATATTTTGAAAATATTAATATTTTATTAAATAAGTTTATTCTAATTGTAATAACAAAAAAATGCCCTTAATAATAATAATAATAATAATAATAATAATAATAATAATAATACTATTGCTACTACTACTAAATAATATATACTCCGTCTATTAAAAAATATAAGGCTTTTTTTGAAGAGTTGGATGTTAAAAAATATAAAGCATTTCTAATCTTTCGAGATGTAATTACTGTCTTTTGTTTAAAAGTGCCCTTATTAATGAATAACTTTATATTTATTGTAGGATGTTTAATAAAGGTAAATATAAAAAGATATGGTTATTTTGATAGTGGGTAACTACTTTATTAAAAGATGAGATTCGGTTAAAAATATTTTATATTTTTGAATAGTGGGAGTATATAATATTAATAAATAAATAAATAAACACGCACGTGGGCAGCTGATGCTTTATTCTCTTCCATCCATTTCTTCCATATTCTCGACTTGCAGCAATCAGAGAGAGAGAGAGAGAGAGAATGCACGAGAAAATCCATGTCCTTCCTTCCTTTTGTTCTTCCTCCTCTGATCACTTATGTCAATCACTGGTGATCGTGTTGCCACCATCGCTGCCGTGGAGGTCCATTCGTTTAGTATTCTTCCTCATCCATGTTTCTCGTCTTCACTCCTCTTTCCTCTTCAGTCGCTGCAATAACGTACTGAGTCGTCCTTGTCTTAGTGGTTCAGCACTTGTTCTTCCTCCTCGTTCCCTTAGCTTGATCGGGTGTGGGTATGCTTTAAACCTCTCCTCCTTGTTTTTTTTTCCTGTTGCATGCCATCCAAACGTGTGAGTGTATCATTTGGGTTGAGGAAAATATTGAATCTTTCTCCCTATTCTTGTTGATGCATGAAATAGAAACTAGATGGAATTTAAAAGTTTAAAGGGTGCATTTTGACGGATAATTTCACCCAACTTATTTTGATTACTGTAAAAGGAAGGAAGTGCGTATAGAATCTCTCTTTTCCTGAGCCTAATTTGATTTTTGATGGAAAGGTTGAATTGTACTGTATAATATTGATATTGGAGACTCAATCGATGATGAAGGATGAACTTTGACTTGTTTAAGTAGGTTGTGGTTGTATTACCATTATGACAGATTTTGTTTAATTTATAGAAAATATATATTAAAATTCTAATACATTTGATAGGGTTATTAGAAGAAGAGAAAAATTGATTGAAGTTGTAAGAAGAAAATTTTAGAACTAGGTAATATTTCAAGTAAGTAAATAACTTTTTTCAATAATTAGAGTGATAATCTTTCTCTGACTTTATTTTTTGCTTATTCTAAATAAATTTTCCTACTATACCTTTATGATTAAATTGATTTAAAGTATATAAATATTTTATTTATTATTTGAATTTATTTATGCAGTTATTTTCATGATATTTTATTTTTTAAAAGTATTATACATGCATAGATTAGATAAATTATTGATAAAAATATCATTTCTATCTTACAAATTAAAGGACAATTTGAACTATAAGGACTTTTAAACTTCATATATGCCAGAAATATTTTATGGGATTGAATACAAAATATTAGTTGCTAACAACAATTTCATTAGTCCTTAGCATGTCATGACACATCTAGCTAGTTAGTTACATTGGAGGTGCTCGCCTCGTGTGTCAGCCAACATATATGGAAGGGATAATGTAATTTTGTAAATATAATTTATGCCTGTTATTCATAAGCTTTATGCTTATACCTATTTTTTGTAGTTTCTTCGGATATGTTATTTATCCTCACAAGTTGTGTATTCATGCCTAATATTCACTATGTTGAAGTCCTAATAAAAAAAATAGGTTTCCAAGTTATATTTTCATTTCTGAAAGATGAATTGTAACTTTATAAATTTAAAAATAATATTATATATATATATATATATATTATATTGTGGTTATGATTTTTTGTTGTCTCCTTACTATTATTATCATCAAGTGAAGAAATTGATCATAAATTATAATGTTAATTGTATAGTACCATTAGCAATGATAACTATCTATTTATTTCTAATATATGTATGTATGTATGTATGTATGTATGTATGTATGTATGTTGATGATTATTGTTTCTATTATTATTAATACTTAGGGATGTTATTTTACTGAAAGACTTTTTAATATTTAGATAGTAAAAGTGGACCTGCTCTTTAGTAGATCTCGTGGAATTTCTTGAGATAATAAGCATTTTGTTGCTCTAATTTTATTGTGGATTAATGTAAACATTTACTCCCTCCGTTAAAAAATGTAAAATTTTTTTAAGGAGTTGGATGTTTAAAAATATAATACATTTTTAGTCTTTTGATGTATAATTATTGTCCTTTCTCCAAAAGTGCTCCTATTAATTAATGACTTTATATTTATTGTAGGGTGTTTTATAGGGATAAATATAAAAAGACAGGGTTAGTTAGAAAGTAGATAACTACTTTATTGAGGTGTGAAATTCAGTTAAAAATGCCTTATATTTTTTAATGGAGGAAGTAAACATTTTGTTTTTGTTCTAAAGTGGTTGCTCCATGAATCTTATAGACAAGATCCTTATTTTGAGTATTTTTTATAGGTTGTAGAAATTTTAGAAAGTTTAGGGGAGGCTCTGCCAAAGTTTTTGCAATGAGCTTGTATATTTTGTTCCTTTTAGCTTATGTTTATGAATATAAATCATGGTAGTATGATAAATCTGTAATAAATATGTTAGGTATTGTATGAGATTAGGCTTATAGAATATCATTTTTCTTTATATTTTAGCTAGTCATACTTTGATATTTCGGGGGGTGACATTGAGATTATCCTTTTTCTCTCTATTTATTTCATCCCTCCTTCTTTGCAATATATCAAATGAAATACATCTATAAAGTTTTATATTTTGTTTTGAAAAAATAAAATTGTTAAGTGCGTTTAATGAAATTTATTGTATAAAATTTTTTTTAAAAATATCTTATAATATAAAATAGATAGAGTATACAATAATGGCCCTAGTCCTTGACATTGTGGCCATGCACATTTTTGGATTTCTTTAAACAAATCTAATATGATAAATAATGGAATATAATCCAAGAAATGAGTCATTATTATATAATGACTTATTATTAAGGTTTGTTCAACTTTTTATACTTTATTGTATAAATAGTTATGAAACTTCGATTAAATAATTTTTTCATCATTAAGCACCTCGAATCTATTGAAAGTTCAAAGAAACACATCTCTAGTTTGTATTTAATATACATAATTCGTTTTTTTTAAGTTATGTTCGAAATTAGACACCTAATTTACATGTATTTAGATGAGATGATTAATTAAATTAAGGTAAACATGTAAGTTTTTAATAAACAACAGATTCAGTAATTAAAAATTGATTGCAACTTAATCAATAGAAACAAATAAATCACTTTCATCATTTATCACCTTAATTAGTGCAGTAAGTTGGTGGTTTGATCAAATATATTAAAACTCACAAATCCATCATGTGTATTTGAAGCCGAAAGTGAGCATATAATGATTAGTAATTGCTTTCCTGTGTACAAAATTTATAGAAACACACTAATTTTTATTTAAAATATCCTAGCTTGGTCATTGGTCAATACTATGTACTCTTTTCACTTAAAATGCAAGACATTTTTTTTAGAGGGTTGAGTGTTAAAAAATGTAAGGTATTTTTTATATTTTAAAATAATTAATATTTTTTTTTAAAAGTACTCACAATAAATAAATTACATAAATATTTACTTTAAAGTGGAACGCTCTATTAGGCAAGACTAAATATAAAAATATAATATTAATTTAAAAATAATTAACTATTTTATAAGAGTAAAATTTAATTAAAAATATTTTATATTTTTTAAAAGGCGTTGCAAAGCGGTGACATGTGATTTTTGAATAATACAACTACCAAGTTGCATTTATCATCCACTTTTTTGTTTGGGTCACAAAAGGGCGATTGCAAAAAATCAACAAACATTCCATAATGCAGCATGTAGATGAGTGAGCGCGTTTCAGGATATGAATGTGTTGAATTTCCACCTGCCAATCTTCACTGACGAGTCTTTTTATTTTGGAGCTTTTTGTCCGTCTAAGCCCGGATCCTCATAAAATCTAAACTAACCTTCTTCAACTGCCCTTCTCACGACTGTCTCTAACACCATTAATCATTTGCACCAAAATTAACCAACTTTACTCACACCCTTGCTATATAAGAAACTGGAGAACCCATCACCCACAGACCAGATCTTCAGCGAAAGAGAAGAAGTACGTAGCCATGACTGAAAAGCAAGAGGTGAGGCTTTTTGGAATCGTGGGTAGCCCAGAGACGACGAGTGTAGAGATAGCTCTGAAACTCAAGGGAGTGGAATATGAATACGTCCATGAGTCGCCCACCAACAAAAGTGATCTTCTTCTCCAGTACAACCCAGTTTACAAGAAGGTCCCTGTGCTCGTTCACCACGAAAAGCCCGTATGTGACTCTCTTGTGATTCTTCAATATGTTGATGAGACCTGGAAATCTCATCCCATCTTGCCTTCTGATCCTTACCACGCAGCCTTGTCTCGTTTCTGGTCCAAGTTCATCGACGACAAGGTAACCAAAAACTCTGGCTTTTTTGCAGAAAGTTTGGTTCACTAAGCTTCTCTTATCATTTTTTATGATCATTCAGCTATAGAGGAGTTTAGTGCCTGTTTGGTACCAAAAGATATATAAGCTGATATAGTGACTCGTCATCACTTGCAGGTGATACCTGCAATATTCAAAGCAGCCTTGAACCCTGACGAGAAGGAGAGAGAGAAAGGCAAGGAAGAAGTATCGGAGGCTCTGCAGATAATGGAAAATGAGCTGAGAGGCAAGTTCTTCCATGGAGATTCAATTGGGATTGTGGACATTGCTGCTGTGTACGTTGCTTTCTGGCTGCCAATAATTCAAGAAGCTTGTGGCCTTCATCTATTCAGCTCCGAGAAATTTCCCAAGCTTGAGAAATGGAGTCGTGATTTTCTGGACCTTCCTTACGTGAAACCCACTTTGCCTCCCAGAGAAAAGCCTCTTGCTTACTACAAAAATCTCTTTCAGAGCCTTGCTTCTTCCACGTAGATGAACAGGGCATGTAATGTTACCAGTGATGCATTTTTGACTGAGTCAGTTAATTATTGAGTGTTATAATTTCATGTCAAGATAAAATTTATATGCATCTTAGCGTGAGGCTAGCTCCAGTGTTAAAAGTGACACTTGATAAGGACTTGAAAATAATGTGCATCCTAGGGTTTTCTTGGTGGTTAAGTGCTAATTGGTTTATTGTGTCATGTTCATATGACAGTGTCTCCAGTAACTTCTCAAATCTTTTTTTTTTCTTTTAAATCTTTTTTAGTACTTATTATCTGTTTCATTGATCTTGCCACTGCGTATGGGCTTTTCTAAATCGGGCTCCACCTTTTCCATTCGGAACACGCCTGACTGGCCCAAGTTGTAGCTCGTGCCCATAACCCGTTATACCGTTACCAGCATTGGGTTAGGGTCATTGGCATTGACCAGCACATCTTTACTTTCTTTTTTTCTTTTTCTTTTTTGCATTATCTATAGGTATTCGTATATTGGAAGTAATTATATTTAAGACATTGTTGGGCATTATATATAAGCACTTTTCTCAATAATTGAACAAATTGAATTAAATATTTGGATTAGTGCGCCAGTTTGATTAAAATCTTAGAGTGGTTCTAGAAATGTTATCATTATTATTGAGTATATATATTTGAACAATTTCCTTTCAGATTCTGTTCATTAGGTAAATTACTATCGCCCAGTGTGCACATGGGTTTGATATATGCTTCAATTACACAATTATTCTCTCTATTGTGACCATTTGTACAAATCCTTTTAACTAGAAGCATGATTTTCAACCAATAGGTATTGATTCTAGTTGAAAGAGTTATAGTCACTTAAATATGAGTTTTTAGATTTGAGTTTATGTGAATAAAAAAAAAAACTTTTATGAGAGCTATTTTTAATTGAGTTTGATAGTGTTCAAATTTGGCCTGGATAGTCATATAAATAAGTAGGGTTTACATAATTAAAGTAACATAGAAATCCTGGCAATGCTTAAATTAGACACATTTATATTATGTTTGTTAAACTAATGATGCAATTAAAATACGACAAACATTAAGTTTGAAAATTAAATTCAAACAGGGGATATGCTTAAATATTTAAAACTCTTAGGAAGAAAGGAGGGTTAGATAGAGGGGATGCAAAAGTAGGTATGGATTAAAAGAAAGTAGAGATTAAATGTATATCTTGAGACACAAGTGATTGTGTGAAGATCCAAAGAAGAGGAGGACACCAACTTTAGTTGTTAGGAGTTATAGCCGTTGGTAGAATGAGCCTTTCATGGAACTCTTTCTTTTCGTTTTTTCATTCGCAAATTCTGTTGGGAACAACTTTCTTCGTTATCATCATTGTTATGATCAATTGGAAAGTGTGTGTTAGTTTTGGTTTGGAGTAGGCTAAGCCTTGTAAGGAAAGTTACTAACTACTTTCTCATCACCCCCTAATCATATTTAGGTTTAGCACAAGTTCTATTTTTCTTGTAGGTTCATTTTTATTAAATGTAAATAAATTAAACCCAATAAAGATAGACACGTAATCATAAATATTGTCTACTTTTTTTCTTTCTTTGAGAATGATAATGAAGTCTTAAAAGAAAGAATACATGATAGTTAGATTCTTGATACAAAAATTTTAAAAAAAATAAATTGCACATATAGATATAAATAATTGCAAATTTAGAAGTTTTGATTTCAAAAAAAATTAAATAATAAATGTTACTCTCATTGTGAAATTAGAATCTTTATATGTAACTTATTTTTTTAAAGAAGTAATCAAAAACTTAATATTCATTAATTTTTTTAAAATTTTTACTGTCATTAACATTGTCTATCTTTTCTTTGTTTTTTTTTTATTTGGTTTTCTGATTGTGTCAGAATCAAGCATTGTTAATTGAGGTAGTTATTTTAAGAATGTTTTACACATCTACACAAATTTAAACACAAGATCTCAATCAATATTTATTGGTACATTGTCTACCTTCTACAGTGCTGGTACTTAGGATACTCTTTTGTGGGGCACCTGACCCAAACATTGACTGGGTTTTGTTAATAAACTAAATTAGGGAAGAAATGTAAGCACATGAAATGAAATACACTTTTGGATGTGAGAGGGTTCTCATTTTTATTTTTAAAGTATGATATTATTTTTTAGACCAACAAAGTGTGATATTGTTGAATTGAGAATGAGACATCATGGGGCTCTGATTTAAAGAAAGGAGAAAAAAAGGACAAATTAGGGCGGAGCCGAAAAACAGAAAGATTTGTAATAATAACTTATGGCTCCCAAGAGCTGCTTAGTAATTTAAGAAATGGGAATGTCTTTCAATCAAATCATCAAATTAAACTTTTATTTTCTTAACAAATAATTTAATTTCCATTATTTTCCCTAAAAAAAAAAAACTTTCGAATGCAATGTCTCAGTTGCTTTCATCTCATACAATTAAAAAAAAAAAGATACATAACTGATTTTTGTAGGAACAATAATTTATAATCAATATATTACAAATTATATCAAGCCCTTTGATTGAAATAAGAGAAATTCATAATTTAACATTCTATCCATTCCTAAATTAAAGTTAACTTATTTTTTCTATAAAAAAGTAAAAGGTGTTCAAAAATAAATATTTAAAATGCAAAAGAATGGATTTAAATTTCAAGAAATGAGTTGTGAAAGAATCTTATAAATACCCCAAATTCATAACCAAAATATCAAAATTTTAATTCAGGCAAAAAAAAATTAGTTTCTTAACTGTTTTGCCCAGCTAATTGTGATCAATTGAACGACAATCACAATTAGTTAATTTATTAACATGGAATGGACAAATTTAAAAAGATTGTAGCCTAAAAATAGGGGACAAAAATTTAAGAAAAAACATACATTTTTGTCCCTGCATTTTACTTGTGTTTTGTTATAGATTCCTGTACTTTTTTTTTAGTATTTTGGGTTCCTATACTTTTATTTTTTAATATTTTACATTCATCTAAGATCCCTCCACTTTATTTATTTTGTTCATTTAAAAACTTAAAATGTTGAAAAATAAAAGTGTAGAGACTCAAAATACTGAAAAAAATGCACACACCTATACCAAAATACAAGCAAAGTATAAGGATGAAAATGTATGCTTTTCAAAATTTAACAAGTTACACGTGTTTCAATGCCTTTAGTGAAGTAACAATAACAGGGGTGAAAATAGGCCATAGAGGCATATGCCTTAACCTACTTCAAGCCCAACTTAGCTTATTTACTAAATAAATTCTAGTCAAGTTTAGGCCTTTAATTAGACCTATTTAGTCAAATAGGTCAGGCTTAATTTTTTAAGGTCTAGCCTATGAGCCTGACAAGCCAACCTATTTACATAAATATATATATATATATATATATTATGTAATATATCACACATACATTAGTTACACCATTTGATTTTTAATTAATCTATTTTTTAATTTTAGTTATGTTTTCAATTAGATTGAATTTATATAGTGATTCCAATGTTATTAATTTATTATGACTTATATATTAATTTTAACGTTATTACTTTATTATTGTATTGTATTGTATTTTAATTTTTATATATTGTAATTGATAACTTATGTTATATATTTATATTAACAATCTTAAAATATATTTGAGAAATTTAAAAATAAAATGTGAGCTTATTTAAAAAGTTTATTTTTAAATAAGCTTTTAGGTTAGGTCAATTTTTAGGTAAGCTCAGGCTTGAGCCGTAAGAAATGCCTTATACAGGCTTTAGGTTAGGCTTAAGTCTCGAACCTATCATATAAGCTTAGGCTTATTTAATCAAATCCTAACTCAGCTTAACCTATTTTCACCTCTAATAACATAGGTTTTAGTTTTCAAGATATACATTAATTTTTCTGTTGATTAATGGATTTTCTGTTGATGAATGGATTTTAGATATTTTATTAATTATGATTATAATTAATTTTTTTGGGAAAATCATACTTATTTTTTATTGTTTGACATGAAAAATACTAAATGTAAGTTTGATGAAATATGAAATAATTTCGTAAAAAATATGCTCAAAGAAACTAATTTAAATTAGCATTTGGACAAGTGAATTTAAGTTTAAATTTTAGGTTTAAAATTCCATATATAAAAATAAAAGCATATATATAACTTTATTTTCAGAAATACTCTTGTTCAACGATAATCTTAATAAATTGATTACTTATTAATGAAAATTACCTATTTTCTTTTAAGTTTTAAATGAGGGAATAAGTAAAAAAATAAATAAATACTTTAGACAAAGACTATTTATTACTTCTATTAAAAAATATAAGGTATTTTTAATTAAATTTTACCCCAATAAGGTAATTATTTATTTTCAAACTAACCTTATCTCTCTATATTTATTTTTATTTAATAGAGTGTTTCACCCTAAAATACATATAAAATGATTGATTAAATAAGGACACTTTTAAAAGAAAAGATATAATTATATTTTAAAAGATTAAAAATATTTTATATTTTTTAATATTTAACCTTTAAAAAAACGTGAGCAATATTTTTTATAAATAAACAAAAATAAAAATAGGGTCCCAAAATTCTACTGTAAAAAAGAACCGAGGCATCATTGTTCATAGCATAGGACGATGTATAACTGGAGCAGAAATTGGGTAGCCATTACAAGACAGATCCGTGGTTTTCACGATTCCCATGACACTTCTTTATTTTATTTTCAAACAAATCTCACATCGATCAATACCCTTATCGTTTTTCTTAAGCAAAAGCTGAAAAAGTAAATATTAGAGGGAGTGAGTTAATTTTGATTATAATAACGAAGAAAAAAGCTCCTCCCTCCAAACAATGTGATTTTTTTTAAGAAATTATATGTTAAAAAAATATAAAATATTTTTAATATTTTAAAATATAATTAATATTTTAATAAAAAATATTTATAATATATAAATTACTCTATAGTTATTTTAAAGTAAGATATTTTATTGATATTAAAAAAGTAAAATATTTTATTAAAAATAAATGTAAAAAATAATGTTAATTTAAAAATAATTAATTATTTTAATGAATGAAGGAAAGAATGGTAAAGAGAACATTATAATCAGGAGCAAGCGAACCTGGGACTCTGGGAGGTCAGAAAGTGGTTTTTTCCTCCATTTTTTTTTTTTAAATGCCCGTCACACAATGAGCTTTCGGTAGTTTCAGTAATCATCACCACTTCGCCCTCTACATATAAGAATAAGAATCGGAGGACTCGCCGTATGGTCCATAGGCTTCTCTACATTGTCCAATCTCCTCCTCGTAGTGTTGCCGGTGCTTTCACCAACAAGAAAAGGAACCCATTGGTGAGGCCTGTAAGCTTCAAAACACCAAATCCTTGGAAGCCCATTTTGAACTTTGGGGATTCTGGGTGTGCCAATGTCTTCAATTTCTGCATTGCGGATTTCGATTCTCACATGGGTTGTGCTCGACAGGGCTTCAGTGTAGTGTCTTCTTGAAGAGAAATAGTTACAATGGAGGGTTTCACAGAGAAGAATGAAGCTGTGGAAGGAAAAAAAGAGGATAGACATGGCGAAAAAATTGAAACTTTTGTTGATTTCGTGGAGGAAAAGGGTCGCGAGAGCAGTTCCAGTTCTGAATTTCTATCATCTGAGACTACAGGGCATGAAGAACAAAATCAGAGCAGTACTGAGGAATCACCTTCTCCACCTTCGACAGTGGGATGGCCTGTTGAGGAAATGGATGATGGAGAGAAAAAGAACTTGGATAATAAGAAAATGGAGAAACAAGTTTCAGTATTATCTGGTATGGCCACTCTGCTTTAAGAATCTATGAGGATTTTTAATTATTCTCGCTGAACAAAATAACGGTATTAATTTGGTTCTTATTCTCTCCACTAGAGATTGAGATGATGAAAGAGAGGTTTGCAAAGTTGTTACTTGGAGAAGACATGTCTGGTTGTGGAAATGGAGTCCCTACAGCGTTGGCTATATCAAATGCTATAACTAATCTATGTGGTATGAAAATTCTCGTGTTCTTGTATTATTAGTATGCTTTCTCAATCAATTAAAGGTTGTTATTATGTTTCTTAATTATTAAACGTAGCTTTGCTGCTCTTGCAGCCACCCTCTTTGGGCAACTATGGAGACTAGAACCGGTGCCTCCAGAGAAAAAAGCGATGTGGAGAAGAGAGATTGAGTGGCTTCTTTGTGTCAGTGATCATATTGTGGAGTTGACACCTACATGGCAGACCTTTCCGGATGGAAGCAAGCTTGAGGTACAATTGTACTCATACTTTCATAATGGATATATGCATCTGTAAAGTTTGCTGGTAAAAATGGCAATGAAGATAGTTTACTCGTTAGGGATACTGATGGCAATGACCAAGATTACCCTTTTTTACCCTCCCACCCACATTTGCCAAACATATGGCGTCCAAGTCCGCCATTTTGGCATAGGAATCAGTACAAAGTCGAGTCCTAAAAAGGTGTGAGCTGAGTTGCGTATTTGCTTGATGTCACTGTTGTGGCATTTGAAATGCAGGATCTACATAACAAAAATTTGCACTGAATCTCATTTTTCTATTAGTTCTTGCTTGCTAAATTTTCTGGCACAGCAAAATATATATATATATATATATATTGTACTATCATCTTTGCATTACCCTAAGTCAAGAAGTGTAACTTAATGATTTATAGTCATTTAATTCTTAGGATTATTCTTGATTTAACACTTTCCCTCTCTTTTTCCCATTTGTTTGGGTGGGAGTCAAGTCATGGATAGATCCATGCATGCAGCGACCTTCACTGCAGTCCCCCAAAGACAAAAAAGTCCCCCCAAAAATTTCTTATGATTATTGATCCGACACAAAAATAATCTTGGGCTCGGCCCCCCTGCCAAAAATCTTGGCCAAAAAAGAATTTCATTCTTTCTAATGGTTTGCTTTTGTATATTGGTCGCCCTTCCAAGTATGGATTGGCTCTGCCCGAGTCAGGTTTGTGCCTTGCATAATCGATCTGCTTCGTGTCATCTAAGTTGATTTAATTTCATTATTCATATAAATTTGTTCTGTTTCTCTTGCAACTTTTTGGCTGCATCCTAAGCAATTGATATCGATGCTATGTTTGTCCATATTTTGTCTACATTCTGGGCTAATTTTGTTTACTCTTGAATATGAATCAGGTCATGACTTGTAGACCCCGCTCAGATCTTTATGTCAATCTGCCAGCGCTACGTAAATTAGATAACATGCTTCTTGTAAGATTTTGCAGCTTCAGTGCATACTAATTCTACTTCCAGAAGAAAGCCTTTGAGCATCATTCTAAACTCAGGTCTTTTCTGCAGGAAATATTAGATAGTTTTGTCGATACAGAATTCTGGTATGTTGACCAGGGGGTTCTAGCCCCAGATGCAGATGATGGTTCTTCTTCTTTTCGGAGGGCAGTTCAGCGCCAAGAGGAAAAATGGTGGCTTCCAGTACCCCGAGTCCCTCCATGTGGCCTCCATGAAAATTCAAGAAAGCAGTTACAGCACAAGCGTGATTGCACCAATCAAATATTAAAAGCTGCAATGGCCATCAACAGTATCACTTTAGCCGAAATAGAAATTCCAGACGCATATTTGGAGTCGCTTCCCAAGGTATAAATGAGCCATACTATTTCAACTACCAGCTGATTAAATTACACAATCTGTTAAAACAGCAGATCTGGCCTTCTTTCAGAATGCAAGAGCCAGCTTGGGGGATCTTATTCATCGGTATATTTCATCGGAGCAATTCTCTCCGGAGTGTCTGCTTGCTTGCCTTGATTTATCCTCTGAACATCAAGCTATAGAGATTGCCAACCGAGTGGAGGCTTCTATCTATATATGGCATAAAAGGACCAACTCCAAACCTGCCTCCAGATCCAGCTCAAGATCATCTTGGGGCATGGTCAAAGATCTGGTGGTTGATGCTGAAAAAAGGGAATTGCTAGCTGAGAGAGCAGAAAGCCTTCTGCTATCGTTAAAGCAACGTTTCCCTGGCCTTCCTCAAACAACCTTAGACATGAGCAAAATCCAGTATAACAAGGTTGGTATTCTTTATGTTCCAGGTTGAACTCCATCATTTCCATAAGGACAGAGCTGAAATGCCACTTTTTCATTTTATTTATCAAACTAATTTCAATAAAAACAGGACAAGTAAATGTTTTCTACAGTGTAAGATCACATGATTAGCTAGCTCTTCTGTCAAAAAACTTGTTCCACATGTTATGTTTTAGTTTTGCCTGTTCCCTAGTAATAAATTTGGTAATTTACTCAAGGTCCTTCAAATTATTTTGTGTAGGATGTCGGGAAATCAATTCTAGAGAGCTACTCTCGGGTACTGGAGAGTCTGGCTTTTAACATCATAGCACGTATCGATGATGTGTTTTATGTGGATGAGCTGACCAAACATTCTGATAACTTCTCATCACTATCAAAAGTCGGAGTAGTTGCTCACAGGAGCATTACAGTGCCATACACAGTTCCGGTCCCGAGCCCTCCATATAAAACAGCTTTTACCACACCGAGCTTTTCGCCAGCACATGGCATAAGCCCAGTGAAGATTGAAAAATCCCAATTTATGAATAGCAGCAGAAACCTTCCTCATCGTGGTGGAGTAGGCGTGAAGAAAGTTTTGACAGATTTTCTTAGTATTGATACAAAAGGGAAGGGCCATGGCAGCAGCAGCCCAATTGAGAAATTAGTTCAAACGCCAGAGAGGTCTGAACAAAAAGCAGCATTTGAAACAGACTTGGAGTCTTGTGAGTGCACAGAAGAAACTACCAGCCCCGAGAACATAAAGGACCAAGCATGGGAAGAGTGAAAAGAAGTCGTTTGATCTCGTTTCGGAGACGCGTAGTACTGGCCTTTTTGTTTCTTCTTTATATGTATATGTAATGCATAGAAGGATTCCCATGTTTAGAGTGGATAATAGCATCTTCCTTTGTCGTTTATATATTATCTTCATGCGGTGCGTCTGTTCGGCTTGTGCTTTATAGTCGATTCCTTGTACCCTTGTACCCGACTCCGGAGCGGAAGTTGATTCTGAATTGCATTTTGCCCAAAAAAAAAAAAAAAAAACGAAGAAGAAGCAAAAGGCGTGGAATCAAATGGGGCATTCCGAGAATTGAACTCGGGACCTCTCGCACCCTAAGCGAGAATCATACCACTAGACCAAATGCCCGAATCTGTATTTTTAATTTAGGCCTTGCTGAAATTATAAATGTGGTTTCTTTTCTTGGCCACTGCATATCAGATGGAGCTTTGTCAGCTAAAAATGGGTTGGCTGGAATAGGCGTGATTTGCAGAGGTGAGAAGGGGCACTTTGTGTATGGGTTTGGGGAGGTGGTGGAGGCATCATCTGCATTTATGGTGGAAGCTCTTACTTTAAGGAAGGCTATTGAGTTGGCCAAGGGACTTTGTGGTAAGAGGGTTTGCTTTGAATTTGACTGTGTTGAGTTGTTTAATATGTTAGATAGCAGAAATCTGTTGACTTGTGATTGGAAGTGTGTATACCTGGTCAAGGATATTTTGTGGATGGTTGATACCATGAGCAATTGTTTTCTCTCTCTTATTCAAAGGAAATGTAATAAAACTACTGATTATTTAGCAGTAACTGTTAAAAGGTTGATGGAATTTTTGGGTTCAATATTTTTCCCTCCATCTTCCCTGACTGAGTTAATTTGTGCTGATAATGTTAATATTTATTGTGAACACCGTATTTTATCCGAATCCTAATAAGTAAATAAGATAATATCTATAGTAAAATAAATAAAAAAATGAAAATAACAAGAATAAAAAAATATAATATTTTACAACAAGAATATATATATATGTGTGTGTATAAAAGTTGGGTATAAAGATAATAAAAAAAATATATTCAAGCGAGATCATAATATAATAATTGAAATAATCAGAATATAATATAATATGAAATTATAATTTAAAGATTTCAATATAATATAATCTAATCTTATTTGAAGATTTCAATATAACCTAATATCTAATATTAAGATTTGAAGATTTTAAAACAATATAATAATCAAGATATAATAATAGAAAAGATAAAAATTAATATTCAATCTCTAAATAATAATAATAATATAATAATATATAAAATACTAATATTAATCATGATAGAATTGAGATAATAAGAAAACCTTAAATGGATGAGTCTATATAAAGAAAAGTAAAGATAAAGCGTAAGACAATTAAAGAGAGATTCAAAAAAAAAATTGTGAGAGAAAAATAACATGATAGAAAATAGTGAAACAAGAGATCTGATTGATAAAGGTAATTAGAGATAAGTTCATCTCTCTTAAACTTTATAAATGCTTGCACATCTTATTTTTCCACCTTCTATTTTCATTAATTTATTTTTTAAATGAAACTTGATCATTCACATAATTATTATTTGATTTGACCTCTTGTCTTTCAATTTAAGATTTGAGTTTGAATCCTCTATTTGTCTTCTTACTTTCTCTAAATGCATGATCTCATAGGCTTTGAATCTTAACTCTTTGATTTTGAATTCATTGTTTATGCCCACGTCTACCAACACATACCACTTTTTAAGCTTGATATGATGCTTGACTGAGAACTTCTTTTACTTTTATAATAGCATTTGGTTGTAATATATAAAAAAGCTTGGCATCATAATTGAATTTGAAAGTATATATCATGTGAAAATCATTATAAGGAACTTTGGAAAAAGCAATTTCAAAATTTAGATCTCAAATTTCTGTTTATTGATTTCTCATTATATGATTTTATATAATTTGTTTGTTATGAGAGACTTTTAAAGTCCTCATAAATTTTTAAATTAATTAATTTGGTATACATGTGGATAAATTATCAACATGTACATATATAAAATTTATATCATTTTGATTGCTTGAGACTTTTAAAGTCTTTACAAATTTTATAAATTAATTAATTTATCTTACACAACGATAAATTATTGTATGTATGTAGTTTTGATATCATCAGTTGCATGAAACTTTTAGAGCCCTTACAAATTTATAAATTAAATAACTTATCTTATGCAGTAATAAATCATCACGAGTACATTTTAAAATATTTTATCTTTAAATAAAATAAATAAATAAAATAAAATATTTTTTCAAAGTGAATGTATGAAATTCTCATAAATCTTATTAAAATATTTTTCCAAAATTATTTCTTAGAGTTTTGCCATAAATAAAGAAATAAAATATTTTCCTGAATAAAAAAACACAAACCAACATTAAAACTATTTTATAAAATAATTAATAACATTTTTTTAGAAAAAATCTCAACCAAGAGGTACACATTTTTACTCCGAATTACGTGAGCTTTGATCTCTCAAAACGGTACGTAGGTTTTAAGATTTTATCTTAGGTCAAGTCTAATTTATAAATAAATAAAATTTTTTCTTTTATTTTTCTAACTTTTTTTATCTTTTTTTTATTAAGGATAATTAATATATTTTTAAGGCCATTTAAATTTATATAGTTAATTTAAAGTAACCATTCACATAAATGAGTCTTGTTACTTAACACTTTCTTCACATACAATTGATTCCTTTATTTTTTTTTATATATATAGACTATACATTAAAAAAGTTTTTAAAATCATCTGTAAAATTTGGATGACGATTCCAAATATTTATATTTTATATTTGATTTTTTTTTTTTCAAAAAATTTTGAATCGGGCGCGACACGTATAGATCACATCAGAATGACAGGTACACTGCATTGGATAGAGTAGGCGTTGGCTAATCTTTGTTGCCTGGTAATGAACATGGTTCGTCGTATTTTGTTGTATGTTTTTTGGTTTAGGTGTGCGATAGTTTGTATTCTTAGGGTGTTTTTTTTTTTTAACTTCAGCTATTACTGGTTGTATTTTTATTTTTTGATGATTAATAAAATTTTCATTTTTCTGAAAAAAAGATCTGTTTATTTTCAGTTTTTTAAACCTTTTTTTATTTTTAAAAATAAAAAAACTTAAAAACTAATTTGAACAAGTGTTTTTGATTTAATTATTTTTAAAAATGTTTTTATTTTTTATTTTTTAAAACAAAAAATAGAAAAAACTTTAAATTATTTTTATTTTATTTTTCTTATTTTTAAATTATATTATATTTAATTATTAAAAACTACAGTTATTTTGATTAATTTTTACTATAAATCACCACTATTAACTACTTATAACTATTTCTATCAATCTACTTTTTAATTTTAAAACTGATTTTAAATTAATATAACCAAAAATTTTTATTTTATTTTGTTTTAAAAATAATTCTAAAACGATATTAGAAAATAGTTTTTAAAAATAAAAAATAAAAACAAAAATCAAACACGCCCTTGCTCTCTTTGCTAGCTGGCCAAGAGAGTTTTTTCAAATTCACTAACGTCCTTACCGTTATCGCGATGTCACTATAAATTTAATAAAATCATGCAACGCATCAAAAGTTCACACTCCATCCCAGTTGCTGCCTTTTATCTATTTAAACAGAAAGGGGGGAAAAAACTCTCCCCTAAGGTAACGCTTTAACAGGTTTTGTTTGGTCAATGGGAATGCAATTAGCAAATGTTAAAGTATTGTTATAAAAGTCAAGACAAGCCTAAGCATCGTAGTCGTTGTAGTATAGTGGTAAGTATTTCCGCCTGTCACGCGGACGACCCGGGTTCGATCCCCGGCAACGGCGATCTTTTTTGTGTTTTTTGTGAGTTCCTTAGAGCAATGTACTCGGAAAAGTTGAAGCCCAATAAAAAGAATCGAAGGCCCATATGGCTGACACCCTCTGGTTCAATAATTTTGCCACCGAAGCCAAACGCGAGAAAGCTTGGTATTAATGGGAGAAGAGCTGCATCAGCCTTTTGGCACAGCTTGTGGTGGTAAGGGACTCTGCAACGTTATAGTACATTTGTATAGAGTAGTTGCTGGATCTGGACAAAAACCCAATCAGAGGCCTGCCCTGTGGGAAAGCTGTATTATGAATGACGATGAAACAGACGCAAGTTCAATAACAGAGGGTCCTATGGAGCTTCTAGTTATGCCTTTTAAGCACTGCAGGCTTTGATCCCAAGGTCGAGGGTGCACGAGAATGTCGAAGTTCTGCATCTGGAACTAGAATCTCGGCTCTTCTGCTTTCTCACTGCTCAGAAAACCTCTGCAATTAATGGCTTCCTTGTTCAAGAGCCCACAAGGAAAGTGGGCAAATACTTCTTTTCTTTTCTCTGTTTGGTATGTTGAAAGGAGTTTTGATTTTTTGTGCTGAAATCCATCCATGATTTATTTTAAGTAGACTCTTATCCATGGGAACTAGTCAAATCTTGGTTTTTCCACTCAGGTGAGTGATCATAGTCACTGTAAAATATAAAATACCTTCAGTCTTTTTATCAGAAACAGATAGCTAATTCATCTGAACGAACAAATGTAGTTATAATACATAAATATGTTATTGACGTGATTCTTTGGAGACAAGGAGAAGGAAACAGGCGCTGTCCCACCATTGATGGGCATGGAGCCATGGACAAATATAAAATAATTATGCTTGCTGGGCCACAACTTTCATACAATTTTGTTTGAATGTAGATAAAAATATCAATGATTTCAAGATAAACATAAACATTGTGAACAACTTCTGCATCTGCCAAAGGCATTAATGCCTAGTGGCACTAAAGATGCCTTCAAATGGGATAAGTTACAAGTTGGAACTAGATAAGATTTAAGTAAATATGGTGAAGCGCGCGAGTTTTCCGGTGCAAAAAGCGTAGGATGTGTAAGTGATTAAAAAAAAAAAATCCAAATTATCATGCCCTTTGGCAATTCTTTGACTTCATTCTGCTGTTCAAACATGGTTCATGGAACCTATAGCCTTTTTCCCCCTCCAGTTTCTCCTGTTTTCATTGATTGTTCACTTTTAAAACAGATTTTATCTGACACACAGGGAATATATAATTTACATCTGAGGTCAAGTTTACCACTGCAGCCTCTACACCCATCATTATCAAGGTCTGCAATAATGGCGAAAGAATCTACATGGACAAGGGTATCAGTTTCTCTGAAAAAGATGTATGTAAGTAAATCAGTATGTCAGTGAGAAATATTGGAATAGAGCATCTACTTTTCAAGACCAAGTTCATCAACATGTTCACATCATGCAGCCCCAGACCGAAAGGCATAAACATTCATATATGAATCACTCTCCTTGTCCCGTACTGATTCAAGAAACTTCTTACCATTGTCAAAATGAGTTAAGCCTATCAAACTACACCTTCAGTTATTCTCTATCATTCTCCTGATCTTGTTAACTAACCTCTGTAGAATACGATGCATAAGAATCTTGTCGTGTCTCATAACCTACACAAAATATCTGTACCTTGCGGCTGTCAGACTAGTAAATTACATATTCCCTCTGACTTCATCTTACCAAAGTCGGTTGTTTTTAATCGTTTCGTCACTCTGAGAGTTACGTCAACTCCATAAACGGAGTGGTCCAGACAAAACCTACCAAAAAAAAAAAAAAAACCCCACTTACTAGCATTATGGGTCAGAGCAAGAAGACAGTTACACAGGGAATATGTCTACGTGGTTAGGGATAGCATCAAATGAGCCATTTTCATCCCCACAACATAAAAGGCAACAAATTCACCAGCAGAGAGGCTTTCTCACAATCTATTAGTTTCAGACTCGGCTTCACCCACAATATGAGTAGCTGCTAATAATAGATGCATATTCATCATTCTGAAATACACATTAAACCATGCAAGAGTTTTTTTCTACGTTATAATTCTGGAATTTCAGCGACATCAAGAGTAGTTTGATGGTAAATTGGGGTTCCTAGGCAATACAACCTTTACATTCAACGATACAGAGAGCAAGGAAAATGTTTTTTACAGTAAAACAGAAAGAAATACATAATTATAATCAGAGGTTCATGTTATGATTCTGTTGTTTGGCTGGAGAAATCAACTAGCTTGCCCACAACGTTCTCACTACCGTATTAACTCGAATGAAGAATTATACCGCAGTAAGACTTCCTATTTACCTGCAAGGCAAGCAGTTGACAAACAAATCAATGCAGCAACAAAAGATCAGTACAACTTCTGCCTCAGTTTTGTGAGATTTTTTGAATTCAAGAAAGTAAAAACTAAAAACAATGATCATTCAAATCCACAGGTAGTCAAATATGATAGAATCTGAATTTACCTTGATAAGCTTATTCAATGGCAAGTATGATCTTAATAATAGAGAGAACCTGCATCCAGTGAGTTACAAGAAAGAAGCTGAATGAGAAAACAATGAAAACGATACTACAAGCCATGTTCAAAATGTTAAGCCACAACAAAGTAACAAACCTTGCCACCAGTTTCCTCTAGAAGCACTTCCTGAATCATCTTCTCCCCCATCTTTCTTGCACTGATAAAAGTCATGTCAGAGACTCCAGATAGCAGAAAAATATCAACCAAGTGACTCTTTTTTTAAAAAAAATAAAAAAAGGCTACTTGTGTTGAACTCTATCCAGGGCTCAACAATCTCTCTTGATTACTACCTAGTACTTTATGATCTTCAATCACGAATTCTTTATTTCAGAGGGGTTGGCATGCTTTAATATTATTTTCAAGCTCATCCATTGAATTCTACTAATAACACACATTTTCTTCGTACAGAGCATTTAGGATAATATTACTCCAGAAGAAATGGGCCTTATTTATTTGGAATACAATACACCCTTGAATCAATATCTTGGGAGTTGTTTATAACTGATTAGCATTAAACAAAAGCACTCACCAAAGGGTTTGGTCCTGCACCCTCTTTGTTCTGAGGATGAGAGTATATATCCTGCCCACCGTAATAGATTGACGAGCTAAGGTGACAAGGTTGAACTCTTTGTTCCTGATAAATGGAACTCAAATCCTTATTTGAACTGCTCTGATTTTCAGCCCCATTTCCCCTGATGTTACCATCTGTGTGGGCATCCAGTATATGGTAAAGATGTAAAAATAATTTTTTACAGACTAATCTACAGCTAATAAAAGGTTAGATACTCGTGTATATATTATAAATTCATAGTACTTCATATATGCAAGATATAAATTAGGTAAGTTTTAGGCTAATGAACTGAAAAACACTAGATTTAGAGTATAAGTCAAACCAAATTTTGTTTCATCAAAGATGATATCACAACACTAATTGGCTCCCCCATAAAAGATTATTTGTATCACTTCATTTCTGGGGACTCCATTCAACAATCACATCACTTCTCTTGTTGACACTTTGGTACTACTTTATTACTCGCGGAAACGAAATTGATTCGACATATCAAATTTTCAAGTAATGAAGTTGTGCAAAAATCTGAAATCAAGAGTTGATATGGGGTCCTTCTTTTAATAATCAAAACTCTTAATGATCGTGTTTGAACCCACTAGCAGACTTACACGATACCAATAATCGTTTTCGACACACCCAACACCCGGTGGGTTACATGGAGAACGTAGAAAACATAGAGATAACAACTAGGAGACCAAGGCAGAAGCCTGAATTTCAATGATCAAAGCTGAAGCATATAAGAATGGTCAATAGTACAACTTCAAACATTATCAGAAATGATAGAAACAAATCAAATATGTAAGAAGAGCCTAAAATAATGTACCTACCTGCTGTCCCAATTTTGGGGCTCCATGTCTCACTGGCAGTTTTGACACCCACTCCAGAAGGCAGAGAATCATTCCCTGGCACCTGAATCAAAATGTCCAAGAGAAGTCTCAGGGTCATTTTTTATCTGAATATAGATATGAATGAACCCAAATTCTAGATTCAAGGCAAAACTTCCACAAGTAGATGAATTTAATCTCCAGCTCTTTGTTATTTCAATAGGTATAAATGATCATTTCCTGCTCATTTCTTTTGTTCTTCTGAACACGCTAAGATTGGAATACAATGGTGGGGGGAAATTAATGGAGAAAATGCAAAGAATGAATTGAACTTCCAGAATTAAGCTACAGATAATGCATAAAAAAATTAAACAGAGAAGAAGCTCTGAAAACGAAAATGTCACCTTAGATGATGGAGAAAATATAGACCCTAAAATCCCAGAAGACGACGATGGAGACGGATCCTTAGAGCCAAAGAGTTCAGAAGTGAAGGAAGAAGACGACCCAACTCGATTCTTTCCCTCCATTATCGTCCCAACCTTAAAATTCTATATCAAATCTTTCACTGGACCCCTCAAAGGATTCAAATCCCGCGCAGATAGTACTTCAAGCAGGGTCTAATAGAATCTTCAATGAGAAAAAACCAGCAAGCTATTAATTTTTCCTTGGGAAACAGAGTGAAGGAAGGAAGGAAAGAAAACGAAATAGGCGAGAAGACACGTGGAAGTTTCGGTCACGACGGATAGAGAGGGAGAGACTAATTCAAATGATAGCGTCGTTCATAGCCCCATTTATAAGGCAGAAAAGACGGCCTCTAAGGTAAAAGTCTCAATCTTTTTGCCACTTGCGTTATATTTTTGTTGCCTCGTTATTCTTTAGAAACATAAACAGAAACAGAGCCTTCTTTCTCTTCCTCTTCCTCTCCTTCTCCGCCCTTTTTTCTTTTTTCGTTTCTCGTCGTCCTTCAGCACCGTCAAGAGGTTAATAGATTGGTGCCACGTGGCTAGCGAGCATCAAAGACGGGACCCACAAGCAATCCCAACCATTTACTGCCACGAGTACCTAGTGGATAACAACAGCTGAAAACTCAGGATCGATTCAACCCATGAATTTGTTAGTGACTCGATCACTTTTTTAGTCTGAATTTTCACTTAAACTGATCAGTCATTGATTTGGCACGACTTAGCTGACCCGGGTTAATCTAATCAGGTTACTGGGTCAATAAGATCACTTTTCTATTTTTTTAAATTGTAAAAATTAAATAAAAAATAAAAAATTCAGTTTGAAAATTAAAAAAGTGAAGCCATGAAGAGTAAAGCAATTCAATTGAATTTCATTGTCTATGGTTCGAACTTTAAATAGAGAGCTTTAATTGAAAGTTCAAACTTAAAAAATTCAGTATTCTTCTAAGTTAATTGTGCCTTAGTTATTTTAATCTTTTATTATTTGTTGTTGTTTATTTATTTGATTATTGCTTAGCATTTATAAATTATGATTGTCATTATTGATGATTTTAGTATTGGTAATTATTAATTTTAGACTTTTAATGATTGAAGGGTTGTAAATTGTAATCGTGAGAATGAATATTTAGAAAATTATATTTTATTATTTGTTAGAATTTTGGGTGGTTATAATTCTATAATTATTATTGTATTTGTATATTGTGCTAGAGATTAATCTTAAATTTGGTTAAATGTTTTCATAATTAATATCTTTTTATTTAAATTATATTATTTTAATTATGATCGATTTGCCTTCTGGGTCGACTTCCGATTAAACCACTAACTTATAACCCATTAACTTAATCAATTCAATGACCTATTTAATTTTCAACACCTTGATAACAGCCTTGTGCTTTTGGTTAGGTGCTTCTTTCTCAAAAGGGCAGTTTAGACTTTGGCATGATCCTGCTTAATTAGTACCTTGATGATGAATTTTTCAATACGTAAATAATTTTTTGACTTGATTTTTAACTGCCTTCATCAAATAGAACGAACTTACACATATCGCACTCATTGAGGGTCAAACTCGTAATCTCCCACTTAAAAAAATGCTTAAAGGAAGTGTTTGGTGTCATTAGATTATAAGACTGTATGTGGACTTTTTTTGGACCTCACTTAATATGTAAATGTTTCAATTTGTAATGATAAACAATATTGGCCAGGGAAAAAATTGGGAGAGCAACCGGTTTATAATACATTTTATATTCCACCTTCCAATATTCTAAACAACTTGAGCTTAAGGTAAGTTAATTCAATTCTTTTAACTAGTTAAACTTAACACCCCACCCCACAATGTTTATTAATAAATTGATTTCATTCATTATATTGTTGTGCTAAAGAATAACTCAAGATGAATTGAGCATAAGTTCTAATGGTAACTCTTGAACATTTAAATGCCTTATGGCCGTCGGGTTAATAAAAATGCTAAAATTATGAACAATAAATCAAATTAATTGGATTAAAGCTGGATAGATTTAGACAATCAAGAAAGTGGATAGACTTGAATTCTGAAACTTTAAGGAAAGTGTTTCTAGTGTGTGTGTCTTTTGGGGATGAATTTAGAAGATTAAAACTTGACAAACCTAAATCGTGGGGGAAAAAAAACTCACACAGAACAAGTAAACTAGTTTTTGAATACAAACACTGTACAGTGGGGGATGTGAAAAAGTAAAGTAGGTGAATTAAGCAAATTAATTAAACGGGGAGATGGATTGGAATGAAATGGGTTAAAAGTGAGAGGCGGGGCAGAATGAGGATCTGAGGAGGATATGTTGTCGGAGGCAAAAGGATGAGAGTGAAGGATTTAAGGTTGGAATAAAATAAGGGGTTAGATTTGGGTGCATTGAATCACGTACAACAAAATGGGACACCAATGGCATTAATTGTCATCTTGGGACTTTTATTAGCATGGGTTTGGGTATGGTCAATTTCACTGTGTTAACTTATAAATGAAAATCAGGCCCCCATTCATGAACCTTCAATTTTTTTAGTCTTAAATAGGTATTGTACATCTTCAGTTTTCCCACTAAAATCTATGTGCGTGTATACATGTTTCAAATCAGAGAGTTTGTAATGAAAGATTAGACAATGATTTTTGAGTAAGTTTTTTAAAAAGCAAACAAATATGTTGATATGTTTGCACACTAAGTTTCTCCGGACAATTTTGACCTCATTATTTATAATGAATTGCTTATAAGATATAGAATCATTTTGAATTGTAATATGACCTAACTTTTGTAACTTCTGTATGATTTTTACCATGGCCTTATAAAAAAAAACATAAAAAAGATGTAGACTTCTCTATTTGATATCTTGATTTAGGCTTACCCAACATAATAACTGTTAACCCCCTACCCATATGTTGACATTCATTATGTTCATTGTTGAGGTTGTATTTAGTAAAAGGGGCTAATCTTTCATGGCATAACAAATCAATGTTAAAATTCTCATTAGAAGATGTATTTATATTTAATACTCAACAGTACCTTAAATAAGATTACCTTTAATAACATAATATTGGTAGGAAACTAAAAAAAAGCACTCATCATCTTTTTTGTGTCCCATTTTTATACTACCTTTTTAAATGAAGAAAAAGTTCAGGTAGATTGAGTTTTAGAAACTCGTTTAAAATTAGAACATGCCTGTAAGCTCAAAGGGTGCTTATGGATCGTCCATTAACAAGATCCTTATACTAAAAGCAAGATTTAGTTCCGTAATCTTGTGAATTATGAGCTAATTTCTTAACCCATTTCTACACCTCCTTTTCATGAATTTATGTTCAAATTCATAGTGAGTTGATATTAAAAATAATTATATTATTGGTAGGTTATGATGAATATAATTGTTCTTAGTTTCCGATTTTTTTTAAAAAAATTCTAATCATTCTCCAAGTATTTTGTATGCCTCCTAATTTCTTTGATACTTTTCACACATTTTAATAAACTTAAATGTTTAAAAAATATCGTGCTTAAAAATTCTTCAAAAATACTTTTTTTTTCAATAACTTCTATTCCATTCATTTCACGCACAAATTAAGATATACAATTAATTAATATTATAATTTTCTTAAAAAGGTAATATGCCCTGAATTTATTTTATCTGTTATCTCCGTCATCTTTCTTACACTATAATCAAAGTCGAAGTTAATAAAAATAAACTTGTTGGAAGTTTGAGAAATACTCGTATTTAATAGTCGACTGTCTATGGAACAAAATTATTCTTAATAGAAACAGATCAGTATGAAATAAAAAACAATAAGAATTAATATTATCTAAGATTTTTAAAATGACAAATGGGTAAATAAAAACATTTTTGAATATTTAATTATTCTAAAACAAACTGAAGGATTCTTAAATTAGACATGCAAGTGTGATCAGATCAGCGCGCTGGTCTGAAATTGGAATGATTAGGGATGGGGTCAAGTCTGAAGTAACAACATAATCACCCTCATAGGAGTCAAATCAATCGAATATCTGATTTCCATTCTCATCAAAATCTCCACTAATTGTTTTCCCATTTTTCAAGGTCATTGGAGGAGAAGATGCGAGGGAAGCCAATTAACGTATGTCAAACAATAAGTGCTAATATGACTTGTGGTCGTGGATAAGATTAAGATCAGAGGGTAGAATCATGGGCTTACACCAACGGAGGTGGTAGAAAATCAAACAAATTGGATTAAGGTGATTAGGACTAGTGGATGATGAAATTCACATGATCAGAAAAACGGTGGCAGACACATCAGAGATTTAGATAAAGACAACAAATAAACGACATATAGATGATAAGGGTAGTCAAGTGGACACACACACACCCGAGGGGTTTGAGAAGTGGGGTTATTGAATTTCCCAATCAATATGACAATAAAAACACACACACACACACAGACATATATAATTTAAGTTATTTATTTTTATAAAAATTATTAAAATGATTTAAAATTTTTATTTTAATATTTTTTTTAAAGGGAAGCAACCAGCAATCCACGCATGTATATTGGGAGAATCGCATATAAGGTACTACAAAAAGATAATTGCTCCTAAGGTCCAATAAATTTTGAAAATATTCTGCATGCCTAAGGACCTTATTTGTAATTAATTTTGAAGCCCAAGGGGCTAAATTTTCTCCATAAGAGGACCTCGATCTGGGATGTTTCTTCACTTGCTTTCATTGTTGGCCTCACCGGATGTCTTGAAATCGTGCGCGAAAGTCCAACGACCAAAGAAATTTTCTCCGTCATTTAAGCTGCCAGTGCCATCGAAATTCATTTTCCTTTATTTTTCACTCTGTTTCAGTTTTCAAAAACAGGGGCGATGAATGATGGAATAAAGCCATGGTTCAGTGGGTTTCGTGGATTAAAATAATTAGAAGCCAATTCAAGTTTTGTGGGACGAAAATTGCAGTTTACCTTCCTTGCTTTTTCGTTTGCAGCATTTTGAGCAAAAAAAGCCAATAAAATCACATATCGGTTTTAACAACAGGAATTCAATTATTTACAATAAAAAAGTCCGTTTATTCAGGAGTTTCAGAGAGTTTATAATTGAGCGCGCAAGATAAAATCTACAAGAGAAGGTTCATAAATAAAAAGTCCAATTATCTATAAGAAAATGTCCATACATTTACGAGAGTCAATAAAAGTTTATGCTCGGACAAAAACAAATTTATAAGTTAGCTAGAGAAAATCAAGAATAAAAGGTTCGCAAATAACAAGAAAATAAATTATTTACAATAAAAAGATCATGTATTCACAAGAGTCTATGAGAGTTTATATTTGAATAAGAAAAAATTTATAAATTAGCCAGAGAAAATTTACAATAAAAAGTCTGTAAATAACAAAAAAAAGTTTAATTATTTACAGCAAAATATCCATGTAATTTATGCATTTTGAAAATAATTTGAACTGTAATTTATACAAAATTTAATGTATACAAACTTTAT